GATCCATCACCCGCCTATGGAGAAACAGTGGAAGAAATCATGAAAATCTACAAATCACTGCCGCCGAGACCCTCCATCGAAGAGGTTGAGGCTGCCTTATCTGTAATCAACACAGTGGAAGAACAAGAGCGCCTTCTCTTGGAGGAAATCTCCAATCAAGAGGGCCCACAAGATATTCTCCCAGAGCTCTTCTCTGTGCTGCAACAAGTGAAGAAAAACATGGTTTTGTTCCAAAGCTATGAGCAGAGGAAAGAGGCCGTCCACTTGGTCGAGCTTGACAGGATTTTCGAGGTGTTTGATGGGCTAATCCAGAAGGCTTCTGGGTTCGTTTCTGGGAATGTTCGTGTCGAGGGACAGCGCAATTCTACTCATGTAATTGAAATTGATGAGGTTGAGGCTGAAAACGCTGTGATCAGTGATGAGAATTTGACAATCAGGAAGAATATTGGAAAAGCTGATCGAGAATTTTCGAAGAATGCTGATGATTTTAAGGGTTTTTCCACAAAGGCTACCATTTCCCCTTCAGGTTTTTGTGAAATTTTATCCTCTCTTTGCATCCAAGTTTACAAACCTTTTCATTATTCCTGGAAACATAGTATATGACGCAAACGGATTGTTTTCATGTTCTTAATTTTAATCATTGGAAAGGATTTTGCGGAATAAATATTCAGTTGATCTAGAAATAGTAGAGCTGGCCTTACAAAGCAAATTCCTAATAAGGAAATAAGAAGGAAATAAGAGTTCAGAAATCAATAACATGAATAGACCTAATCTTAATAAATTGAGTAACTTGGAGCTATCTGATTGCTTAATGAGCTCGAAAATTACAATATACTGTGGACACTTATTTCCGTGGATGGAAAATCTTAATTTCATGGCTTAATTATTTTTCATTGCTTATATAGGAAGAGGAGATGCTGAAAAGTTGAGTATGATTCAAGTGGCTGCCATTTTTGAAGATTTTGTTAAAACTGGAGCAAGTATTCTAGATCTTCATGGCAAATTGGTGGAGAAGGTTGAGTGGCTTCCTTTATCTCTTGGAAAGCTATCAACAGTTACTGAACTAAACCTTTCTGAAAATCGAATCATGGCCCTTCCAAACACTATAGGCGATCTGAAATCCTTAAAGAAGTTTTACATCGCTGCCAACCAACTCATAAACCTTCCTGATTCATTTGGGGAACTGCATAATTTAACAGATCTCAATCTCTGTGCAAACATGTTAAAATCACTACCTAAGACTTTTGGGAACTTGAAAAACCTGATTAATCTAGATTTAAGTTCGAATAAGTTTGTGAAATTACCAAATATCGTTGGGGATCTTAGCTTTTTACAGAGATTGAATATGCAATTGAATGATCTTGAAGAACTTCCTCACACCATTGGATCATGCTCATCCCTTTTAGAACTAAGATTAGATTTCAATCAGCTCAGAGCTCTTCCTGAGGCAATTGGGAAGCTTGAATGCTTGAAGATTCTTACCTTGCACTACAACAGGGTCAAAGGATTGCCAACAACGATGGGGAAACTTTCGCATCTCAAGGAGCTTGATGTTAGCTTCAATGAACTTGAAAGCATACCAGAAAGCCTTTGTTTTGCTGTTAGCCTCGAAAAATTGAACGTTGGGAAAAATTTTGCAGACCTGAGAACCTTGCCAGAATGTATTGGAAATCTTGAGATGCTTGAAGAGCTAGATATCAGTGACAATCAGATACAAAGTTTGCCTAATTCGTTTAGATCCTTAAGGAGATTAAGAATTTTTCGTGCTGATCAAACTCCATTGGAAGTGCCACCAATGCAAATAACAAAATTGGGTGTACAGGTACGTTGTTTAACTTGAATTTTTGACTTTCAAATGAGAAGCACAATCTGTAAAGAGTAAAGAATAAGCTGATTCATTTCTCTGTTTTCAGGCTGTTGTACAGTACATGGCTGATTTCGAGAGGGATGAGAAGTCTCCACAGAAAAGGAAGAAAAGAGGGTTATGCTCTTACATCTGCCCACTGCTCTGTTTTGGCACTGGGAATGTGGGAGCTGATTAAATTCCATTCAGTTTATGAAGAAATAATGGTTTTAAGCGTCTCCTTTCATGTATACATATAAGTTGCTCTCAAAAAAGTGTACTATACTTTTGTTTGTTGATGTGAATTTGTTAGTTAAAAATCGTGACTTGTGCTCTGTAAAAATGCATGTTCACAGTGCTAAATTATATTCTTCTAATGTTAATATAGAATTTACAAAGCAGCAGATCCAGCTATTTGATCAGTGAGAAAGGCTTCTAATAGTGGAATCCTTAATTCTTCAGAAGCCAATAAACTCTGTCCCAGTCTCCGCATTTTGTTAACCTTTTCTTGATATCACCCCTTCTGAAAACACTAACTCAATACAGAGAAAAGGGGGTGTTTTGATGAGTCGAAGCATGCGAGACAAAACAGTCTCTTATGCAGAATGCCGTAAAATCCATTCCGATCAATATGAAAAAATAGATGGATGACAAGTTCATGGCAAGTCAAGGGGAGGATGAATGGGAATGCGCAATCTACGATTGCAGATTGCCACAAGAAGATACAAAATGGTTTACACAGAGGAACCATTCCATTGGTGGGTGCGTATTCTTTTGATGGATGCAAAGAGTTCAAGGCCAACGGAGGAGAGGGGACGAGCGAGGCCCTTGCCGGTGCTGTATGTTACTGCCACAAGGGTTACCACTGGAATGAGATGATCAGTGAAGAAGAAACCAATTTCTCGTGCTGATGTTTAGATCTGTATACGCAAGGTGGTTCTCCTCTCCAAATTTTTACATTCGAGTTAACCATTAATGTCCGGTTTCTACTTGAAGGAAAAACTCTCAACATTGAGCAAACAATAGGTAGCACAATCGGAACTAGCATATGTTCAGACACACTTAATGTCAATGTATTTTTATGAAAAGTTTATTCGACAAATGTGACAGTGATCTCGATATCACATAAACCAATGATCATTTAGATTTTAGACCAATGGTATTACTATTTTTTTAGTATGTACTATTTATCTTATATTTTGGTGAGAAGAAATTGGCTACAATAGGGTTGGCAAGGGACAGCCCATCAGACTAATTTATATTGTAACTTCCATTGAAACTTACGTAGATATCATTGTTATAATAAAATACGCGTTTTGATTTTGACTCTCTACTTTTTTCTCTTATTCTCTTTTCTTGTTATTGTCTTTCTCAACAGTTTTATAACAAAAGCTAATTTTGAATAGCTTTATGATATAAAAATGCCAAAAATGGCCTACTTTACTTAGAAATTTAAAAATGCCTCGAACTTTTTTTTTTTTTTTAAATGAAGTATACATAGTACGAACTAGGAAAAAGTAATTATTTAATTATCATTGTATTTATTGAGACGTATCTTGTCAATGTCGTTTGCCTAAATTTTTCACTACTCTTACGACGACAATTTAAGCCTTTTTCAATAAATTTAGTTTGAGTACATGAATTTTCATGTCATTGCCTTGAATAGTTGGAAATATTGTTACATGAGCTTCTTTCCAAGTAAATTCTACCGTATTATTTTGTCTTAAATTCTTCTCTACTTCTTTTATGTTACTCTTCACCTTTGATCTTTCTACATGCGGTCACTCGGCACACGTTATAAACAACAAATTCATATCCCTTCTTCTAAAGATTTGTTAGTCATTTACACAAAACACAAGACACATTCTTATATATAGGCCTGGAGAAAAACAAGGTGGTGTCTACTATGAAGAGGTGGCTTCTGCCTCTAGATGCAGCCGTTTTAGGCTCTAATGTGTTGGATCGAAAAAGAGCAGCCATGGAGGAAGCCATCGTTAATTACAAGAAAGTGGAGTGGAGGAGGAAAGATGGTTGGTTGTAGTAATTAAGAAACTGAAGGAGTATTCGAGGAACCATTCCATTGGTGGGTGCGTATTCTTTTGATGGATGCAAAGAGTTCAAGGCCAACGGAGGAGAGGGGACGAGCGAGGCCCTTGCCGGTGCTGTATGTTACTGCCACAAGGGTTACCACTGGAATGAGATGATCAGTGAAGAAGAAACCAATTTCTCGTGCTGATGTTTAGATCTGTATACGCAAGGTGGTTCTCCTCTCCAAATTTTTACATTCGAGTTAACCATTAATGTCCGGTTTCTACTTGAAGGAAAAACTCACAACATTGAGCACACAATAGGTAGCACAATCGGAACTAGCATATGTTCAGACACACTTAATGTCAATGTATTTTTATGAAAAGTTTATTAGACAAATGTGACAGTGATCTCATTATCACATAAACCAATGACTATTTAGACTTTAGACCAATGGTATTATTATTTTTCTAGTATGTACTATTTATCTTATATTTTGGTGAGAAGAAATTGGCTACAATAGGGTTGGCAAGGGACAGCCCATCAGACTAATTTATATTGTAACTTCCATTGAAACTTACGTAGATATCATTGTTATAATAAAATACGCGTTTTGATTTTGACTCTCTACTTTTTTCTCTTATTCTCTTTTCTTGTTATTGTCTTTCTCAACAGTTTTATAACAAAAGCTAATTTTGAATAGCTTTATGATATAAAAATGCCAAAAATGGCCTACTTTACTTAGAAATTTAAAAATGCCTCGAACTTTTTTTTTTTTTTTAAATGAAGTATACATAGTACGAACTAGGAAAAAGTAATTATTTAATTATTATTGTATTTATTGAGACGTATCTTGTTAATGTCATTTGCCTAAATTTTTCACTATTCTTACGACGACAAATTAAGCCTTTTTCAATAAATTTAGCTTGAGTACATGAATTTTCATGTCATTGCCTTGAATAGTTGGAAATATTGTTACATGAGCTTCTTTCCAAGTAAATTCTACCGTATTATTTTGTCTTAAATTCTTCTCTACTTCTTTTATGTTACTCTTCACCTTTGATCTTTCTACATGCGGTCACTCGGCACACGTTATAAACAACAAATTCATATCCCTTCTTCTAAAGATTTGTTAGTCATTTACACAAAACACAAGACACATTCTTATATATAGGCCTGGAGAAAAACAAGGTGGTGTCTACTATGAAGAGGTGGCTTCTGCCTCTAGATGCAGCCGTTTTAGGCTCTAATGTGTTGGATCGAAAAAGAGCAGCCATGGAGGAAGCCATCGTTAATTACAAGAAAGTGGAGTGGAGGAGGAAAGATGGTTGGTTGTAGTAATTAAGAAACTGAAGGAGTATTCGGAGTTGGTGGCAGGACCTAAATGGAAGAAGAAAAATTGGCAAGGTTAGCAATCCTAAGAAATCAAAGACAGCTACGTTGTCACAATATTCTCCTGGAAGTTATGCTCTAAATTTTGATTGTCATGGTGAAGACGAGGAGGAAGATGGTTTGTTGCACGGTTTCTAATCTAGATTTGCATTTCATGCTTTCAACGAGTGACAAGCAATGATCATAAGAACCCGTTTCTTTAAGAAACATTCATTTCAAAATCTCATAGAAGTTGTCAATTATAGGCAATGCAAAGCCGACGAACATTGTAACAACCTAGGCCTCGTGCCCAAGCCGTTATATCATACGTATTATCTGCTTTAGAAGAACTTGACCCATTTTACCCCTCACAAATTTGTATCGCATTCTTAGGATTCGAACTCATAAGCTTTCTTTATGAGATATTTAAGTTGAATTTTAGTACCAATTGAACAAGTTACTCAATTAGTACCATGATAACAACTCAAGTCTCATGCCCAAGCTATTATATCATACATACTGTCCATTCTAGGAGAGCTTGAGCCAATCTTATCTCTCACGAATTTCTATCACGTACCCAGAATTCGAACTCACGACATTTCCCTTAAGAGACTTAAATTCAATCCTTGTATCAATTGGCTCAGGCTCTCCCAGAACGGACAGTACATATTATATAACCATGAGGCCAAGGTCATTACAGTCATGGTGCAATGTGTATTGAGGGTGTAGGAATTTTAAATAAATTGAAAAATAATGAATTGATCAACTGATTACTTTGAGGGTTGATTCAATGTATGCGTATATGCAATAACGTGGAGATGGCGAAAGTTCAGCATTTTACCTACGTCAGACACATAATAGCCAATCTAGAGTCATTTTTACACACAAAAATATATTATAACTGCAAATATACCACAAATATGGGCAGATTCCCATTTGTACACCATTTGGCCTATACACCAAATGATCAACCATGTGTTGCTACTTGCTTAGCCTAACCAACAGAAAATACCTCAAAACAGCTACTGCAACCTTCCATTTCAGCTCCACCTACGAAATCCATGCAGGCCCGGCCACTGGGTATGAACATAAAGGACAAAACCTCACTATTCTTCGATCTGAATTTTGTGCTCAGATGACGCGCTCATTGCTTGCTTTATCACCTGCACTACTGTTTTATCTTGAAATGGAGTAGGTATATGGATCTTGAAAATATCAGATTTGGAGAAACAGAAACTGAAACTTACCTCTTTCTTTTGCTTTTCTGAGAGGATGAGGACGAAGGATTGCTGTGCCAATTTCTTTTACGTTGGTTGATGAACCAATTGTTAATCTGTTTTAGTTGCAAGCCGGTTTCCTGCACCAATCTTGCCTTATCTTCCTCCTAACAGAATATGATACAACATAGCTGTTAGATGTGTGTTTTCATTTTGTACATGAGTGCCTCTGATGTTAAAGGGGATTTTGTAAGATTGTTACAAGACCTGCAATATTACATGGAATCTCATGTTTGACTGATGAGCAATACATACATAAATATTTATAAAGGGTAAAAATATACATGAAACGCCATTCATGGATAAACAAGATCAAAATTTACACAGCAGCAGAGGTCTGCAATTATACTTACTGTTGGATAAGGCCACTTGGAATGCAATTCCCACCAAGATTTTAAGACGGATGTTGTGTCTCCAGGCAGTTTTCCGGCTCTTCGTTTGCGTAAAATTTCATCCCTTATGTCCACAAGCTTCTCCTTGTAACCCTTGAAAAGAGAAAACAGAATAAATTAATTTAATTCCAGTCATTGTGAAAGCATCATTGAAAAAATTGATGCTCTGTTACCTGTTTAAGCTCGCTTTTCAATTCTTGTCTCACACGCTCCATTAAGGACCTCTCGCTTTCAGTGGGTACTAGAGGACCAAATCCCATGCTTTCATGTCCATCTAGACTTTCATCGAATAAGTTAGTTTCGCTGTCTGCGTGATCATCGTCATCATCAGACATGGTCACACCTGTACCTTCGACTGGCGCTACCCCTGTCAAGCAGTAGTAAAAAATTATTCAAATGAGGGAGGAGTGAGATTGGAAAGTTGATTATACGATGAAATATAATAAACTTAAAGAAAGAGCAATATGGAAATCCTTTCTCCCCATTCAGAAAGAGGTGATGTGAATTTTTCTAGTGGACATCCATCACAAAAGTAGGAATAGGTGTATGTTGCTTGCACCTCATCCAATGTGCCTTAGTGAACAGAATTTCAGGCATTATCAGAGTAGGGGTACTAGTGCTACATCAGTTCTTTTAGGAAAAGAAAATCTGAATTATCCCTTGCTTAAGCGTTTAGAAGTGTCTTGCAAATTTGACACCCTAAGTTCAAACAATAAAACGAGAGGGTGGATGAATATTAGTATTGTACTCGGCTAAACCATAAAGAACTGAAAATGCAATAGCTATTGAATATTAATCAAAATCAATTGTTATCTATGGTGCACGATTTTAAGACTGCCCGTCCCTTGAACTCTGGAAATTTAGTTTAAGCCATAAAATCGAAACATAAATACAAGGTAAAGACAATTCATTAATCATGATATGTTATAAAAGAACTTTGAGAGAAATTGGCAAGATCAGAATCTCATTGCAAAGTCGAGTATGCTTTCAAACATGATATGACCCACTAAAGTGAACATCAACCCTAAGTAAAAAAGGGAAGAACTTAACGATTAACTTAGGTCACCGAACAGAGTAAATATTAATGATGATTTCAAATATGCTCCGAAAGATGGCATATAAATAACATGAATATCTAGGAATGATAATCAATGTGAATTCTAGAAACTCCCGTACTTTGAAGTTACAACAGCCAGGATCACAGGAAGTAAACGTGCAGTTGATATACACAGTCTCAAGTAATTAGAGAGGCTGTGCGCGGAGTTAAAAATCTACACATGCCAATTCTAAAACTTTTACCCCTCGGCTGAGAAAAATTATCGAGTCACATTTGCAATATAAATTAAAAAACAAGAAGAATGAAATAAGATAATCACCTGTTAAGCTTTGCAATGACTGTTCAAGCTCCCAACAAGCCATAACTGCTTCCATTGCATGAACCCGCACATGTTGTTGGAGTTGTTCTTTAAAGGAAGAGAGCAACAGAACATAATGTGTCTACATCAGAAGGAAAAACAAAAGGAAGAAGAAGAAGAAAGAAAGATTCAGATAAAAATTATGAAGAAATAAATTGAGTTATGAACTCACTATCAAATAAATGTAAACAAGACCTTCCGCTGATTTACAGTTAACAAATAGGAAAAAACTTCTACTCAAAAGAAAAAACAAATGTACATGGACGGAAGGATTACGTGAAATGTGACGATCATACTACAACTATTCCAAGAGATACAAATTGCTGATTTCCTGGAGTTAGAAGAACTGTCTTCTATACCCACTAACCCTAACCAATGTATATTTGTAACATATAAGTTTTGATTAATATTCTATCGGAAAAGTTGAATGTTGCAGTACATTAATGAATGATGATCCAATTTCCTGACTTTTCGATACAACTTAATGTGTTCAATTGACTACCAGCATTATTATCAGCACATTAACCAGATTTCGGCTGATAAAAATTAATGCTTCACCCCCTAAAAATACAGATAGCTTCAACATATATTCAGCTATTCCTGAAAATTTAATATTCAGAGAGCTCTATTTTCAGCTAAAAGTACTACTCGCATAAGAGGGCAGAAGTCTAATTAATTTGTAATATAAAAGATATAACTAGGAGAGTAGTGTACACCGTGCAAGGATTAAAAGGAAAATAAATAAATAAAATTGTTACCATGAACTGATCGAGGTCCTTGTCATCGAGGGGCTGTTGACCTTGTCCAAGAACAGAGTACTTAGCCATAACCTGTTGCGACTGAGCCAACTGGGCGTCGATCCTGGGCAGCTGGTCCACCGGTGTCGCTATTCGCAGGCACGCCACGTGGGTCGACAGAAGCTGTTCATACAGAGGATGTCCCAGAATATCCGCCTTGCACTTTTCTCTCTCCCAATTATTATCACCTCCGCAGACATTGGTGGTGATATCGTTTTCAGGGCCGGCGTCCGATGTGGTCGGCGGACTGGATTGACTTTGGGTGGAAAGCCACTGGTGTGACTGAGGGTGGAGGATAGAGCTGCTCAGCCAGGTGGATGGTGATCGTTTTGTGGGTGAGTCTTCGGGGGAGTGATGGCGGAAGACGGCGGCGGCGGGCGGCTGAAGATGATGATCATCGGGATAGTGGTGGAGGGGCATATCTTGAGTGAGGTGTTGGTGGTCCTGATACGCCATTTCTGAATTCTGCAACAGTTTGATGAGCTTTTCTTACAGCCTACGAGTCGATGGACGTAGAAATAGAGGGAGCATTTTACTTATAATAATTGCTTTTGTTCGGATTTATCCATGGATCCCAACAGTCAAGCCGAAACTTGAAGTTCGGATTCGACAAGTAAAAATGATTCGACCTTTTTTTTATTTGAACCGGCTCTTTTCTTTTCCCTTTTTTTTTTTTTTTTTTTTTTTAAGTTGTGATAATTCTAATATTTTTTTTAAAGAATCTAAAATTTGGACAATTTATACGAATTATAAATTGTATAAAAGTTCCATCCTTCCTTTTTTTTGGGACTTGGGACCATCTACAATCAATATAGACAGAGTTAAAATTGTACATAAATAAAATATTTCGTGTATAATTTTTCTTGAAACAAATAAATTTAAAAAATAGAGATTTTTTTAAAATTAATCAATTTAAAAACTTACAATATTCTTATGTTTGAATTTGCTGCAACTCTTTAGCTATTATATTGTTGACTTGTACTTGAATACGTAACTTTGCATTTTCCCAAACATTCAAATATATTAAGTCTCCAATATTTTTTCTTTATTCTTGATCGTTCGTCTAATAAAATTCGACCACCTAAATTAAATACAGCCTTCGATACCATCGTAGACATCGAATGTGTTAGTAGATCGCGTGCAATTTTTGATACAATTGGATATTGTCTTCGCTAGACTTTCACTATGATAGAAGACTAAATTCCTTTAATTCTTTTGGTTGTAGCACACAACGAATGTCCACACATATACTTCACTAACTTGGAGGGAATTTCAAGATTTGTACCACTAACCTTTATCATTCTAGATATTGATGAACTAGAACTAAATGAAGGAACATTTGTATTAGTGTCCAAATAATTTCGCATATTATCTGAATTTGTTGAAAAAAAATTTGAAAAAGAACTTTGGAAAGTAGAGTTGCCATAACCTCCATTTTCAACATAATAGTTACACATTTCACATAACATAGTTTCTATATGCACATGTGATAATTTCACATTCATGAAATTTGAAACCCTCTTTATAATACCTTTTGTGACAGATAAATTAAGTCGAGAGTCCATCACCTATACTAAAATAAATAAAGAGGACAATTATTTCTAATAGTTACAAAATTTTAACTCTATGGAGTAGATTATATCAACAAAATTTAGCAAATTTCTATATTTATGAAATACTTGTGAAATGTAGAAAAAGTGTTGTAAAACAAATGAAGATGTAGGATAATAAACGTTGCTACATTCTTTTGTGGCATCGAAAAAAATTTAAGCATTTCTTCACACAAAATACAATAAACCATTCTCAATTTTTCAAATTATGTTTAAGTCTAAATGTATGCCTACCGTTGTAGTATAAGAAAATAATTTATCATAACTTTCACATGAATATAACATAAAATATGTAGAGTTCTATCTATATGTTATATCGATGACAAATGATTTCTCTTGTAAGCTATACTCTGCACATAAACTATTAAATTCTTGCTTTCTTGCTAGTAGCACAGTAATAAAATTTAATGCTCGTCTAATTTTATCTAAAGGTGATCTTATATGTTCGATCCATTTTTCACAATCAAATTGATAATGTGGCATACATAACGTCAATGAAAAATAAACTTCCAAATGTAGGGTTAAGATCATTAATAAATTTATCGATAACACGTTATTCACAGTAGTATTATCAAAAGTAAATTTTCGAACAATTTATTATATACCATATTCTTGATAATATCTTTTAACACTATGTATAGATTAGTGGTATTGTGAGGATATTTTATATATTTGAAAGCAATAATCTTTTTATGTAAATTCCACATGTGATCAATATAACGAGTCGTAGCAGTAATATAACATTTTTATTACCATCGGTTCATAAATTAAAGGTAAACAATATAACACTGTTAAAAAATTTTAGTTGTTCAATAGCAATTTGTTTTCTTTTGTTATATAAAGTGCATTGAGTCTATCATCATAAGGGGTATCTCTGTTGCAGTCACGTATGTATTTATTCCTTTACGAAATCTTTCCTGTGAATATACAAAGGTGGTAAAAGTAGAACCAGAACCGCTAAACACTAGTTTAGTCTGTTTCGAATTGAGATCAACTGGTTTCACTTTATAATTCCTTAATACGTGCCTATTCAAGTGTACTGTATTTGAACCGGACTTCCAATTAAGTTCTTCGCCACAGTAATTGCAACATACTTTCCAAAATATCAACTTCATTTTTAACACCAACTTTTTTACCTGTCATGTGTTGCCAACAATTCAAGGATTTCTTTTCGACCTTTTAGTCTCGAGTGTTTCTTCTTTTTCGATATCCTCCCAATCAATTGGAATATTTTGAGATGCATCGTAATCGATTGAAGTACTCGAACTACCTTTAAACTCATTAATCTCATCACTAGTAAAATTCATCTATGGATATTATAACAAAATATGCTGAATATTAGTTAAAAGAAATTGAATATTATAGTCAGAAATTGGAGATTGAAATTGAGACTCGAATACTGCAAGTTAAAATTAATTGAATTAAATTGTTATGAAAGTTAAAAATTTAACTTATACTTTTAGGAAAGAAATATAACCGTTTCAACTAAATTTGAATTTCAAATTACAAGTTGCCTAGTAGTAGTTTCCTTAAAGAGGTAGCTATGTGTAGCTGTCTATTTCCTTTGCTATTTGAAGCTCTGGGGAAGTCGGAATACGAAAACACCCATCTTGGGGTGAGCTTATTACTTAGATGCTTTTAGCAGTTATTCGCTCCTGCCTACTGTGATTGAGGAATGAATCGATCATTTGACTAAGATAAAATAAAAAAAATCTTCTATGGATAAAGGAAAATGAGATAGAACAAAGAAGACACTCAAAGAAAATGAAAAAAGGAAAAAATGGAATAAAATAATGCAATTGGAATAGTTTAGTATACATAAAAATTAGAATAATCTTCCTTAGAGAAAGGTGATCAAACAATTCTCATTCATGGTCCTTACGGATCGTATCATCCATATAATATACAAAAAGAAACTCCAAATATTTGATATATTTCTCTTTGAATAAAATCTCATTTCCAACGACGGTTTCATTGCCGACTAGGGCATTTTTCAAGCTGAGCCAAGGGCCTCTCGAGCCAACAAGTCAAATTTACGCCCCTAGATTTATCATAAATTTTTTGAGATTATAAACTAATCAAATTTCTTTTAATCACACGTTTCACAATCTACCCGTTACATCTCAAAAAATTTATCAAGCATGGACTAACTAAGTTTGTGTTTGGTGTTACTAAAAACCAATTTTTTTTAATGATTTTTAATAAAATTTGAAGAAATATATGATTGAAAAATCAATAAAAATTATAAATTTTGTGTGATTGAAAATGAATTTTAAAAAAATAAATTTTAAAAATAGGCAAAAAAATAAAAATAAAAATAGAGCTAATTAATATCAATGTTTGGCTTTTGTCCTCTCTGTGTCTCTTTAACTTGTAATTAATTTGAAAGGTTGAGGAAACTTATTAATTTCATGTTTGGTTAAATTAAAATTTAATTAAAAGTCAACAATTGATTTAATTACATATTTTATGAGATACTTTTATTAAAACCTTTAAAAATTTAATTTTTATCTAAATGAATCAAGGGCTAAAATTTTTGTTTTGATATTTTTATAAAATTTTCTTTCTTTGTAGTTTAAGATTGCTTTTCAATTTTATTTTTCATTTTTTTGGTTCAAAGATGAGTTTTATTTATTTATTATTTACTCAAAGATGATAAAATAGGAAGCTATATAAGCAAGTTGAGTTACACTACTTGTACAACTTGATTTACAAATTGCACATAGAGATGGCAAAAAAATTGTCAAACTTGATATCCACGGGCCTAGTCTGTAACAGGATGGGGATTACCCGGTTAATCGAGTATTTGAGATGGGTTCGGGATGAGAAATTCTGTTTGAGGCGAGTATAGGTCCCGTTAATTTTTTTATTTAAAGAATGCATTATTTTAAATGGAAAATTCCATAAAATTTCATTAATTCTAATTAAAGATGACAACTAAAATTATTTAAAGAATATTATAAACAGTAAAAATTTTAGTTTACCAAATATATTCGAATAATTTAACTTTAAAAAATTAATTAATTAATTAAAAAAATTAATAAATATATTATTGTCTCACTTCAATAGATGAAGGTAATAAAATGAATTATCAAAAACTTAAAAAAAGATACATAAATCCTTGCCAGCTGTCGCCTCCACCCCCTCCTTGCCTAGTCTTAAACGAGATGGAAATATGCCCGACGAAGTAGGGGTAGCGGAACCCGCCCCAAGCCCGCTCCATTGCCATCCCTAATTACACAGGTAGCAAGATTTCACATCATGATTTAACCTTTTTTCCTTTTTTTTTTTTTGGGTCCAAAATGATATGAGATATTGTCATTGGTGTAGTTTGTAAATCAAGTGGTAAACCAGTAGCATAACTCAAGCAAGTTTTACATTTTTATCATTTTCCTTCTTTGTTCTACTCAAAATGCATGTGCAAACAATCAAATTGTCACTCTTCCTATAATGCGGTTGGAAAGATTCAAAGAGTCAAAATCAGTAGTTGCAATGAAAAATATATATTCTTTCTTTGGTGGGGATTAAAATTAGAATTTTAATAAATTTTGATAAAAGCTGATGAAACTTTTGATTAAGGTTAATTATTAATTTTGACTTAGAATAAAATTTTGATTTTAATCAATAACAAACAGAGGCTAATAAAGGATACATGTTCTTTATATATCCTTTTTAAGAACATGAAAAACCCCCCTCTGCATATCATCTTGGTATTTCTGCATTTCTCTATTAAGTTATCAGATTAATAATTTCTACCATCACCTTTAAGTCTATGGAGGTTACATGTAGGGGCGAATTTAGGATTTTAAGTTAGCACGAACGGCCATCAATCGTCGCCACAATAAAATATTACGAGCCAATTTGATGCTCTCTCTTTTTTTTTTTTTTTGCAAAAAATGTATTTTGAAATAGTGATTTGATGGAGAAAGTGTTATTAAAAATAAAGAATAAATTTGAATTTGTGTGTAATATTATTTTATTGAAAATGTATAGTTGAAAGAAAATAAAAAAAATGTATTTTGGGGAAAAAAAAAAGGAAATGAAACATGGCCTAAAATTTAAATATAACAATTATTTTGTTCAAAATGAACATATATAATTCTGTTATACATATTAACAATATTTACCAAATGATATTGTGGCTGAGTTTTGCATAATTCAAAGGAAGAGCAATCTTTACATCATTTGAAAAATAATTCATAGCAATTCAAGTCATATTTTTAGATACCCATTTTTGCAATTTCATTCCCATCTACATACCCAAAAAGTCACTATAACGAAAGAGGTAAGAATCATTCGGCTAAAACTTAGCATATATTATTCTATTCAATTAAATTTCAAAATTCAACAAGTGTCACAATGGTTTAGCTCTTCATAATGCTAAAGAGAGATGGCTGGTTCGAAACCTCTCCATATTCATTAATTTTGGAAAAAAGGTAGAAATAAAAATATTGCACTAAAAATTGGTTGGGAATAAATTTGAACTCCGAACTTCCAATGTGAGTTGGCAACCTCCAACCAATTGAGCAACAAGAGATGGATGGAAATGAAGTGAATTACTAGTTATATAACTTAAAATATTTATCTATTGTCGACAACAAGAATGGTTCCCGGCGGATCTAACTAAGGCGGCCGCCCTAGCTCGCCAATCGCTAGATCCGCCCCTGCTTACATGTTGTGACCAATGTTCTATAGTTGGATGGACATTAATCCAATTAATTAAGCCCCCGTTTGGTACCCATTTTTTCTAAAATGTATTTTTCTCTCTCTTCTTTTCAATCATACATTCTTTATTAAAATAATATAACACGTAAATCAAAAACTTTTCTTTATTTTTCAACCACACACTTTCCATCAAGTTACTATTTTAAAATGGATTTTTACATACAAATGGCTCTCAAACAACCCCTAACTGAATCCATGATAACAATAATAAAAACTTGAATTTGTAAAATCGATTATATTATTGTTTAGGTTAATCGACGGATAGTTTAAATTGAGAAGAAGGTGCATGTAAGTATCATACATCTCTCTCCGACATGCATCAATCAGGGTAAATAATGAGAAAAGGAAGAAGGGAAACTAGGATATTAGCCATAACTTAATGTGCATTTTGAAAAGTGGCCTATTTAAATAGACAACCACCACAACAAATTTTCTTTGTTTACTCCACAGTCCACCTAAATCTTGAATTCAAAAAGACTCCATTACTGAGGTAAAACTCCACAAGTCAAAACCCGAAGCTTTGGCCTCCACGGTTGAACTCATATCTTGACAACCAAATATTACAGCACATAGAAATCCCACAAGTTTAGCTCCCATGATTTCAGTATTACAACATATAGAAATCCCACAACTTTAGCTCCCATGATTTTAGTCATCTCCCAGAATTTTGTATAAATGATTTTATTTCAATGTAAACCATGTCCATGTACAGCTATATAAAGCATACTGATAAATGAGAAATATAAGATAATTGTTTCTACCATTTTACTTCTTTACAAATTGTTTCTACCATTTTACTTCTTTACATGCTATCAGAGCCTCAAAAATCCTGACATACCTTTACCCAAAATTCTCATGGCTTCTGATGCCCCTGCTTTCCAAACCTCTTCTCCCTATCTTTTACACCCTTCTGATCCTCCTTCTTCGACCGCTAATTTCGTTGGTAACTCCTCCACAATGCCTTGCTCCTTCAACCCACAGACGGATTGGATCATTGACAGTGGCGCTAGTGATCACATGAGCTATTGTCGATCCTCTTTCTCTAATCTAAATTTGTTTCCCATTGCTCGTACAGTGAGGCTACCCACGGGGGAAATTATTCCTGTTGAAGGAATTGGTTCTGTGCCTTTATTTGACCATTTAATTCTTCAAAATGTCCTTTATGTCCCCTCATTTTATTATAATCTTCTCTCTATCCCTCAACTTACTAAAAATCTATCTTGTGTTGTTTTTTCTCATTTGATAAATGTTTTTTTCAGGACCCTCCATCGAGGAGGCTGATTGGAGCGGGTGAGGCATGTAATGGGCTCTAACTCTTTCACTCCCATGAGACCGTCGCATTCTCTGTTTGTCATCTTGATAATAAGACACTGTGACATCAACGCCTAGGTAATCCTTCTAGCTTTACTATTCCCACAATTTTTGATAATCCATGCACTCTATTTCATTGTGATGTTTGTGAGCGTTCAAAGCACACTCGTTTACCTTTTAAAATTCATGCTAATAAAAGTTCGAAACCTTTTAATCGTCTTTATTGTGATATTTAGGGTGGCTATTCTACCGCCTCCATTTGTGACGCACATTATTTCTTAACTATTGTTGATAATCTTTCACGCACTACATGGATTTATTTAATGCGTTTTAAATCAGAAACCTTTAGTCACTTAATGCATTTCTTCGCTCTTATTAAAAATCAATTCAACTCATCGGTTAAAATAATTCGCACCGACAATGGACAAGAGTTCCTTTCACATAACCTCCAAACCTATTTTCACACTCACGGCATCATCCATGAGCGTACTTGTGTTGAAACTCCGCAAAATAAATGGCGTTGCAAACCGTAAACATAGGCACCTCCTGAATGTTGCTCGCAGCATTCGCTTTCAGGCAAACCTACCACTCAAATTTTGGGGAGATTGTGTTCTTACTGCTGCTTATCTAATCAATAGAACCCCAAGCCGCTCCCTACAAAATCAAACTCCTTTCCAACTTCTTTTCAACACCCCCCATCATCCACTCACCTACATATGTTTGGTTGTCTTTGCTACTCTCAAACCCTCATCGCGACAAATTCTCACCCAGATCATCTCGTTGTGTCTTCATTGGTTACCCTAGCAACCGCAAAGAAACACCATTTTTTACTCACGCGACGTCACCTTCCACGAAAATCAATTTCCCTTCCATCACATCACACCCCTTCCTCTTAATGACTCCACGATCATTCCCTTACATATCATCGAACCCATGTCTCCTCTCCCTTCCTCGACCAAACCCCAAGAACCCCCACCCACCGCTACTATTCCTTCCCGACCTCGTCGCCACACTACTCGTCCAGCATATCTCCTTGATTATGTCTGTCCTACTATCCCTGTGGAGTCCATTGCCTCCTCAACCGCTGTACAGTCCTCAGGTACTTCCCACCCCTTATGCATTTATCTATCACACTCTTGTTTTTCTCGTGCTCATTATTCATTCTTAACTGCTCTTACTGCTTCTGTTGAACCGACTTGTTACTCAGAAGCAAATCGCCACTCTCATTGGCGTGAAGCTATGGCCTCTGAATTTCATGCCCTTGAAGAAAATTCCACTTGGACACTAGAAACCCTCCCTCTTGGCAAGAAACCCATCGGTTGTAAGTGGGTATACAAAACCAAAATCCGAGCAGATGGCACTATTGAACGATACAAGGCCTGACTTGTAGCCAAAGGCAACACTCAATTAGAGGGAATTGACTATCATGAAACTTTTGCCCCAGTTGCCAAAATGACCACAGTACGCTATGTCCTTGCTGTTGTCGCCACCAAAAATTGGGTCATCCACCAAATGGATGTCCATAATGCCTTCCTGCACGGTACACTTGATGAGGAAATTTACATGATCCCACCACCCGGCTACTATGTTAAAGGGGAGACACGAGTCTGCCGCCTTCGAAAGTTACTCTATGGCCTCAAACAAGCTTCCCGGAACTAGTTTTTTAAACTAACATCTGTTCTTCTTAATGCAGGTTTCGTTCAGTCACAAACAGACCACTCCCTATTTACCTTGATCACTGCAACCAGTCTCACTATTATCTTTGTTTACGTTGATGATATCTTGGTTGTTGGCAATGATCTTTCTCAGGTTATCTTCTTCAAGAGTGTTCTTTCCAGCAACTTCAAAACCAAGGATCTCGGCCCTCTCAAATATTTTCTTGGCCTTGAAGTTGCACGATCTCCCTCTCGCATTTTTCTTAATCAACGAAAATATGCCCTGGACATCCTCGCCGACAGTGGCCAGCTTAGTTCTCGTCCTGCACCTTTTCATATGGAACAAAATCTGAAACTCAATGACACAGATGGTAACCTTCTTCTTGATCCCGCTTCTTACCGACGGTTAGTGGGACGCCTCATTTACCTCACCATCACCAGACATGACATCGTCTTTTCAGTAAACATTCTTAGCCAATTCATGCATTCGCCTCGGACCCCTCACATGACAGCTGCAACACATGTCCTCCGCTACATTAAAGGGACTCCTGGACAAAGCATTTTTTTCTCTTTCTCTAATAATCTTCATGTTCGTGCTTACACAAATTCTGATTGGGCCAGTTGTCCTACCACTCGATGCTCTACCACTGGCTTCTTCATCACACTTGGTTCCAATCCCATTTCTTGGCGCACTAAGAAACAAACTACAGTGGCTCGTTGACGCCGGATAGGATAGTAATTATCCTATTGGCTTATTGTAGCAGATGATTCGTAAGAAAAGAACGACAGAAAACGCCAAAAAAATCAGAGAAAATACTCTGAATTCAACTCAATATTATTAATAATGCAGAATGATGAAAACTAACCCACAAGCCGGGTTAAACAGCTACGAAATACGAAATTATGGGAAAATTAACAAAAATGGCAAAATTTCAAAATTATACCAAAATAAAATATTAAGTAAAAGAAGTAAGTTGCCAAAAATTTGGCTCAATTCGAGTTTTCTAACATATGGAAAAAAAGAAATGAAATATTACCATAAATAGTAAAAAAATAACTTAAAATTGAATTTTGAAAAGGAAAATAGTGGATTTTGGGCTCAAAATTGACGTCCACCGAGCATAGCTGCTTGACCACGACGTGCGCGCCGAAGAGAGCTTTTTGAATTGGGGTCATAATAGCGATTCCGATAACCGTAGCCAAAGTTATGGCCAAATTATCAAACATGCGTCAAATCCCCCCAATTAAGGAAATAATGGTGATTCACTTTTCATCTTTGCGCCGATCCGCCATCTCATGGTATCTTAGTGCCATCATCGTGAAATCTGACAAATCAGCATCACTCGACTCGGATCCTCCTCCATCAGTCGCCCCAGGTTGGAAAGAACTCGCCCTCGAGTTCACAGTAACTTCATCAGACTCCATAAAACAAGGGCTTAGATGTTTTACATTGAAGACGCCAGAGGTCTTCAAATGGCTCGGGAGGCGCAATCTGTAAGCATTATCATTGATCTTCTGCAGCACTTCACAAAGTCCAATCTTCCACTCCTTTAGTTTATTGTATTCCCCAGCTAGAAAACGATCACGAGTTAATACTGCCCAAACAAAATCACCAACATCAAACAACACCTGGCGTCGATGACTATCTGCCTGAACTTTATACTTAGTATTACTATCCTGTATGGATAGCTTCACCTGCTCATGGATACCTCGAAGATGTTCAGCCATCTCATCAGCTTTGTTATTGAAGCGACCCACACGTGAAATTGGAGCCAAATCAAGTACTCCGGATGGGTTTCGACCATAGACAATTTCAAAAGGACTCAGTCTGGTGGTTCTATTCCTCGACCGGTTATAAGCAAACTCTGCTTGAGGTAATGTCAAATCCCACTGCTTCGGTTTAGTCCCGGTTAAGCTTCTCAAAAGATTTCCCAAACTTCGATTCACCACCTCAGTCTGACCATCTGTTTGGTGATGGTATGCGCTGCTAAAATTCAATTTCGTTCTAAGTTTCTCCCACAAACTCCTCCAGAAATGACTCATAAACTTAGTGTCACGATCAGAAGTAATTGACTGTGGAACACCATGTAAAAGCACAATCTCTCTAAAATAAAGATGAGCAATTCGAGTAGCATCCATTGTCTTCCGACAAGCCACAAAATGAGCCATCTTTGAAAATTTCTCAACCACAACAAGAATGGAATCCATCGCCCGCTATGTACGAGGTAAGCCCAAGATAAAATCCATACTGACATCAAACCAAAGAGCTTCAGGTACGGGTAATGGTGTGTACAATCTAGCATTAGTAAGAGCCCCTTTAGACCGCTGACATACATAACACCACTCCACATAATGCGCCACATCACTGCTCAACTTGGGCCAGTAATAATCAGAAAAGACCAATGCCAATGTCTTGTCTCGCCCAAAATGTCCTTCGTTATGAAGTTCATTAATAATCTGCTGCCTTAGTGAACAATCCGGAATGCATAACTGCAATCCACGAAACAGGTAACCATTATGTAAAACAAAATCATGTTGGTGATTATCAGTTACCTCCCGAATTATCTTCCCAAATGAAGGATCCGCAGCATACATATCAAGAAATGCCTCAAATTCGACAATCTTGGTGCTCATGGTGGTGAGGAGTAATGTGCGACGGCTCAATGCATCTGCTACTCGATTTAAACTCCCTGTTTGATGCCTGAGTGTGAAAGTAAACTCCTGCAAGTACGCCACCCACTTTGCATGTCGCCTACTCAGCTTGTGCTGACCATTGATGTACTTCAAAGCCTCATGATCAGTAACAAGGATGAACTCCCTCTGTACCAGGTAATGGCGCCAATGTTTCAGAGTCTGAACTATGACATAGAACTTCAGGTTATAAGTGGAATAATTTTTCTTCGATCCCGATAGCTTCTCACTAAAAAAGGCTACTGGACGTCCCTCCTGACTCAGAACACCACCAATGCCAACTCCAGACGCATCACAGTTTACCTCGAACACCTTTTCAAAATTCAGAAGTGCCAAGACTGGGGCCTCCATCATCTTCTGCTTAACCAACTGAAAGCTAGCCTCTGCCTCCTCAGTCCACTGAAAATCACGCCCTTTAAGGCACTCTGTGATAGGAGCAATCAAGGTACTAAAGTTTTTGATGAATCGACGATAGAAGGATGCCAATCCATGGAAACTACTGACATCGTGCAAAGTTTTTGATTTCGGCCAATTCAAAACTGCCTCAATTTTGGATTGATCTGCATGATCACCATCAGTAAACACAACAAAACCCAAAAAAGTTACAGAAGTTGTGAAGAAAGAACACTTATTCTGATTTATGAATAAGCGCTCCGTCCTCATTACATCAAAGACAGCACGAAGATGATTAAAATGTGACTCCCATGTCAGACTATAAATAAGTATGTCATCAAAATAAACTACCACAAACTTCCCCATGAAAGGCCATAAAACCTGATGCATAAACCTCATAAAAGTGCTGGGTGCATTTGATAGTCCAAAGGGCATGACCATCCACTCGTACAACCCATGCTGTGTCTTGAATGCGGTCTTCCACTCATCTCCAGGTCTGATTCTGATCTGGTAGTATCCACTTTTAAGGTCAATTTTTTAGAAGACCTTAGAACCGGACAATTGATCCAACATGTCGTCCAGACGGGGAATTGGAAACCTGTACTTCACTGTAATCCTGTTAATTGCCCTGCAGTCAACACACATACGCCATCACCCATCTTTCTTCCTCACTAGAAGAGCAGGAACTGCACAAGGACTCATACTCTCACGAATGTAGCCCCTTTCCAATAATTCTACCACCTGCCGCTGCAACTCTTCAGCTTCCTTGGGACTGAGGCGATATGCTGGTCGGTTTGGTAGACTCGACCCCGGAATGAGGTCGATCTGATATTGAATGTCCCTCATAGGTGGTAGCCCTGGAGGAAGATCCTCCGGCATCAAGTCAGAAAACTCCATCATAGTTGCTGTACTTCTGGTAGAAATTTTGAATCCACATTCGTTGTACTATTTTCACGAGGATTAAAGCATAAACTATTTTTTCACGCCCAACCTCAACCAAGAACCTGGACATAGAAAGTAGATTGGGGTTTTTAACTACCGGGGCAGGGATGTTTCCTTCCCTGCGAGGTACCAAAACAATTCTCTTCCCTTTGATGCTAAGAGAATAAGTATTCTTCCGCCCATCATGGATAACACTGCGATCATACTGCCAAGGTCGTCCTAACAAAATATGACATGCGTCCATTGATACCACATCACACCAAGCATTATCAAAATATTTTTTTCCAATCGAGAAAGACACTAAGCATCATTTTTCTACCGTTACCCCACTGCCTTTGTTCAGCCAAGACAATTTGTATAATTTGGGATGACGATCCATCTTCAGTTGCAGTTTCTCGATAGCCTCCTCAGACACTACATTCTCATAACTGCCACTATCAATTATCAGCTTATAGACTTTATCAGCAATTGTGCAGGTTGTGTGGAAAACGTTGGTCCTCAACCAATCATCCCCTGAGTCGCCCTTGGGAGTCAGCAGGCTCTTTCGAACGACCAGGGTCTCCTGACCATCACCATGTAGCACGTCCTCATCTTCACCCTCATCATACACGGGTTCCCCAACTTCCTCAAACTCCTCTATCATATCCTCCTCAATCAGAAGATTTTTATTCTTCTGACCAGCAGGCTTCCTACAATCAATCGTCCTATGCCCCTGTTCACCACACCTAAAGCACTTAATATTTGAGCTGGAACTATCCCGCTATGGCTGATAAGCAGGACGAGATTCTTGAGGGCGAACTGGCTGACTTCCTTCACCTCTGACCACTGGCCTCCTACTTTGCTGTTTCTCTACTGCAAGTGCTCGCTGATATGCCTCAGAAACTGTCCACAATGAATGAAGGCTGAGAACATCCTGCAGGGGCTGCCTTAGTCCCCCCAAATACCGTACTACCATCTGCTCCTCCGTCTCAGATAAATCATTCCGAGCCACCAACTGATAGAATTCTTCAGTATAATCATTGACTGATCTTGCACCTTGCCTTAGTGAATGAAGCCTCTGAAACAAGGTTTAAGTATAGCCGAAAGGGAGGAAGTGTCCTTTCATTTTCTTCTTCATCTTCTCCCAGTTAATAATTTTGGATTTCGCTTGTCGCTCCCATGAATGCTTCAACTGTTCCCACTATGCAGATGCCCTACCTTTGAGTTTGATGGCGACTAGTTTTACTTTGACACGATCTGGAACCTCCTTATATTCAAAAATTCGCTCCACTTCATTCAGCCAGTCAATAAATCCTTTAGCCTGCAACGTACCAGAAAACTCGGGTAGATCCACTCTGAAATCGAGATCCACATGATGATCCTCCCGTCCACGATGCTCCCAAACTCGAGCACGATGGTGATACGGGTTTTCAAAACTGGTATCGAAATCGTGACCTTCTACATCATGATTACCGAACTCCTGCTTCGCCAAACGTTGGGTTAACTCCGCAACATGTCTCTGCAAATCTTCAATCGTTACATCCTGAATATTACGATCACGGTGCGGGACTTCCTCAATCGGAACCCGTCCTCGACGACCACGACCACGACCACGACCACGTCCACCAACCATTATAACTGATGGAATTTATCTCCCAAGAAGATACTGACGCTCTAATACCAACTGACGCCGAGTAGGATAGTGATTATCCTATT